AAAAAAAAAATAATTCCCTGACTTTTCCAGGTTTTCCACCACTTTGGCTAATATTAACATATTTTCCAGATTTTCCAGGTACAATACAGACCTTGTCCAATGTTTGAATATAATTTTTTTTTTTACATATTTTAGGTCTGAATTTTAATAATACAATTTTAAAAATAATATCATCTATAAAAATATTGTATTATCTTTGTCTATTAGATTAATTTAAATAAACGTTTATATAATGAATAATAATGAACCACCAGCAACTGTTAAAACTTTAAACTGATATGAATAGTCTGTTGTTTTTTTCAACAGTTGATTTCAAATGGATTTCAAAGTTGACTTTGAAATCTAACAAAAAATTTTTGTTACCTTCATAACCATAAATGTTCTCAAAACGACTAAAAAACCTGGCCAGTTTTTCGCAACTAAATATAATTTCAGTGGTCAGTATCCAAGAGCAATCGCTCCCGCTTCCCGACCAAGCCAGTGGTGTAAGCTTTGATATGTTGATTATTATAAAATAAAATGTTAATTACACTCTGACTTTTTGACCGTAATATATGAAAAAGTCTTTAAAACTGTTAAAGTTAAAGCTATGAATAAAGATTTTCAATCATCAGACCTAAAGATTTTTATATAAAAACTTACCATTTAATAAATTTTGTTCATTCAACTTCTCAGAGCAAACATTGAACTTCTGTAAAGAGTTTGTAGTTACAGGTAAACCCCAAAGTTTAATAATATTTTTTTTTTTTTTTCAGAAATTGAGGATAAATCATCTCCACCAAGACATACACAATTTTTAGTCTCTTTAATCTTTATTTTGGCTGGTTATTTTCGCTGTCTTCCTTTTTTGTCTCCAGAGCAGAAGTTTAGCCTTCTGCTAAATTCAATCTTGTATTGCTATAAAAATCTATAAATCAAATTATTAATAATTAAGTTATAATGTATAAGCCTAAAGTTGTTAACTGCTGTACGCAAACTAATTATGAAAAATATCCAGAGATATTAAATTAAAAATTATGAAACCAAGAATATTGTCCCTCTGCCTCAGAAAGATGGAGTATATAAAGGGTTGTTTCAATTTAAATCATGATTTAAATCAGACAAAAATAATGATTTAAATTGAGTCTTTTTATTTCAATTGATTTTAATGATTATTTATTGATTTAATCTCATAATTCAATAAACTATTATAGACTAGCCATTGGTCTTAAAACAAAATGTCTGGCAATATTAGAAAGCTCTACATAAGTAGAATATAAATTCTAGTAACATCACTTTTTGTATACTGTTTTAATATTTTAGTAGATAGGGTTTCACAATCAAACACAGAAAAATCAAACAAAAAAAACATACTTAAAGTGTAAAATATCAGCTTCTAACAACTTCAATGCCACATATATATTACTGATACCTTAGCTATATAATCTAAACTATTATAAATAAATTATGAAAAAAAAATTTTTTTTAATACTTATACTGTATGACATTTCAAATGTTTGATATTTAGAATGTCTTCTTTATTAAATAAATCGAACATTTGAAATGTTACATTTATTTAATAAAGATTATTAAATAAATCAAACATTTAAAATGCTTATACAGCATTATTAATTAATTTCATTATTAAAAAAAAAAAAACATCAAGTCGCGAGAATCTTTTGAAATTTATTTCTTATAAGGAACCTTTTAAGATTCTTAAAAGATTCATAAATATTGCTTCTTTTTTTTATATATATATATATATATATATATATATTTTAAAAAAATGGAAAGATAATATCAAAACCTTTTTTTATTCTGTCAAACGATACGGTTTTAAAATGTTTTAAAAATATCTACTAATCCGCAACTACATTGGCTACGGCATAAATGTAAGAACAGATTTTTATAGCAAAATATTAAGCCTAAACTACATTGACCAAATGTTGGCCCAACGTACTAGTAGTACGTTAATTACAAAAAACCGATTTGTAGAATTACAATATTACGCCGAAGAAAAAACATTGGCTAAATGTTGGCCCAATATAGTACGATATTTGCAAAAAACCGATTTGCAGAATTGAAAATAATACGTCGAAAAAAAATATTGGCTAAATGTTGGCCCAACGGAATAAACTTGCCAATGTTAAAACTTACAATGGGCCAATGTAAGCTTGCTGTGTGGGATATATATATATATATATACATGTATATATACATATATTTTACATTTTTTTCCAGTATGTTTTCTGCATTCCTTTTAAAAAAAAAAAAAAAAACAGACGAAAAAGAAAATATGAATTTGTTAGTTTTAAAGAAATAATTTTCATGTCGTTCAAAATCAGTATATAAGCTTTTAGGAAATATGTATAAGTTTTTTTTTTTCTTTTTTAAAAAAATTTTTAACTATTGTTTACATGACAAAATACTTTTTTCATAACTAGTTTTTAATTAAATTTACTTACATCATTCTTCATTGCCCTGTTATCAGTATTGCACTTGTACATACAGTACATACTCTAATATTTAACTCGGAACAGTCAAATATATAAAATATATAATCAAACATAAAAAAAAATTAAAATCATGAGCCGGTAAAAATTATCGAATAAAGAGCCTGTATAAGTAATAAAAATGCATAAATACCCGTCATGTTTTTAAGAGTCTTTTCAGACGTCAGGCAAGGTTTTTCTTTTACAAACAAAGATTATATTCATCATTTTAATTTTATATTTGTATTCAAAATTTTCTCTAATTTTATTTTATAAATTAATCTTAACATTTAATAGTATAATTACTTTAGAAAATTGACTTATTATTTAATTTTTATTATGTACCACTGCTACGACTGAGGGCAACAGTACTTATATAAAGTATCGGAATATTTTGAAGTCTCTGTTATAGTGCTACAAAATAGTAAACTTTTCTTTAGTCATCATTTTTGATATAGTTAAAATTAATTTACATCCGTTCTCAAACATTATTTAAAAATGGAAGAAAAGAAGGCAGGATTTTTAAAAGTGACAACAAGTATAAATAAAGTTGCATTTTGCAAAACTTATATCAACCATTATATGACGTAATTTCATAGTTGTATAGATTTATACGGTATAAAAATTTTTATTTTTTTAAATTGATTTAATCATTTGTAGGCAGGCATGCTCACTTCATTTATTTTCAAGAATTATATAAAAATAAACAATCCATTACTGTATCAAAAATTTTATTATTTGATTTAAATAAAATATGTTAACGTTTATTAGTACATATATATATATATATATATATATATATATATATATATATATATATATATATATATATATATATGTATATATATATATATATATATATATATATATATATATATATATATATATATATATATATATATATATATATATTATATATATATATATATATATATATATATATATATATATATATTAGGGTGGGTCGAAAAATTTTTATAAAATTTTAGGACCTACATCACAAAATTTTGAAAAACTTTTTTTTTAAATAATAATAGGGCCTGCTAATTTTTGTAATTATAGTTGCGGGTGGAAAACCTTGTTCAATCCATAAAAGTAAGTACTTTCCTAAATTAGTAAATAAAAAAAAGAACTTTCTAGCAATGTTTAGAGCCTGTAACAAGAAAAAGAAATTTATGACCCACATTAATATATATATATATATATATATATATATATATATATATATATATATATATATATATATATATATATATATATATATATATATATATATATATATATATATATATATATATATATATATATATATATATATATATGTTTGTGTGTATGTATATATATATATATATATATAAACATATATATATACATATATATATATATATATATATATATATATATATATATATATATATATATTATATACATATATATATATATATATATTTATATATATATATATATATATATATATTTATATATATATATATATATATATATATATATATATACATATGTATATATGTATATATTAATATATATATATATATATATATATATATATATATATATATATATATATATACACTCTAAAAAACGTTGTGTTAAAGCAACACAAGCTTGTGTGTTCCGCAACACAAAACTTTTGTCATATATGAACAACACAAGACGATGTTAATTTAACATAATGCCTTGTGTTAAACAAACAACACAAGGCATTGTGTAAAAATTTATGCGTAATCTTGCGGTTAATCGCAAAGTTAATTTTTTGTTTATTTTTACTCATAAAACACGTTTTAAAACATATTTTACGCAGCAATGTTGAACTAAACGACTAAAAAAAGTCACGACGATTTTTAATTAAAACTTAAATTATAGAGGAGGTATGCTTTCATTTTATTGAAAGTTTGTTAAGAAATAGAATACAAAAGTATGTTTAATAATTTCATTTTATCATCTGAACCAAATTTGCATCATATATTAGTAAATACTTTATCCATTTATTTTAAGTAATATGTTATGTTTGTAGTTTGAAATATATTTTTAAAATTTACTGAAAATATCGTGCATATTTTTAATTTATAGTTTCACATAAAAGATTTGCAGTAAAAAAAAAAATTCAAAGAAGGAGATAAAGGCTAAAATTACTAAAATGTCCTAAATTACTGTCTAAAATTTGTCAGCATCAGTTTGAGGCTTTATTGTATCTGAATATACTACATATGAGATATCTCTTCGAATAATTTACGTGCTTTAGTGGACGCAACAGAACCAGGCAGTTTATAAACTAATTCTTGAAAGAAATTGTATAAAATTTGTAGTTGCTTTGGATATTCAAGATTAAATACAAAAAACGACTTGAAAAGACAGTCAAAGGCAACAGAAACTTTCGAAGGTTTAACTATAATTGCTTTTCCATCGCATACAACAAAAAAAGACAATCCACACGACAAAATGAACGGTTGCTGTTTTAGATTTGAGCGATTAAGGAACATCTCGATCGAGATGTTCCTTTTACCATTAGTATATAATTTTAAGGAAGTATTAAATTTAATTATACTAACAACTGTTCAATCTTCTTTATCTCGTTATTTTACTTGTGTTTAATTTTTGTTCTATTAGATTTACTTCAAACTTTAAAAAATTGCATACTTTTTTTTTCAGGACGGCGAGACACTCGAGTGTCTCGCCGTCCTGAAAAAAAAAGTATGCAATTATATACTAATGGTATAGATTTCTCATTTGTTTCTTAAATTATCTCATTTGTTTCTTAAATTATATACTAATGGTATATAATTTAAGAAACAAATGAGATTTCGAAATAAATCTTTCCTTTAGTTCTTCAATTAGGAAAAGCATTGCTGCACCTGGTGAAACACGATATTTTCCCATAGTTGGCAAAAGATAAACAAGGGCTTTTAAAGATTTTAGTACTAATGCATCTAAACAAAATTAAAATTATAATATCATTTACACAGATACAAACATAACTTAATAAATATAACTTTTTCGTTTAAGATTTTTTGGAGATTATTTACCTGTATTGCTGTTCCCTTCAGTATCTATGTCACCTATAATGTCAATGCATTTGCCAGTCAGCCTGCAGTATGCAATTATTTGTTTCGAAATTTTTGTTTCCAATAAAACTGGAATATTTTCTACATAACTTCGATTAATGGATTGGAATTCATCATTTAACTGAATAGTACAAGCAAATGTTACAAATTATTTTAATGCAAATGTTACAAGTTAATTTAATGCAAAAATTGAAACTACCCCTCAAAAATTTGTCTAGCCAGGAATTATTTTTTTTTTACCAACAATGGAGTGTCCATAAATCTTGGAAATTCCTCAAGTATCCTATTAGCTGTCGGTAAATCATTTCGGATCCACAATTGCCTGCATAAACGTGATTTGTTCATCAGTTCTACAATCTCATTTTCATTTCGGTCTATATAAATAAGATGCAACAATTTTGTCTTTATTAAATCATATTCTTCGTTGCTTATTTCCGCTGGGTCATCGCCAACAGCAATAAACCCATCACCTAATAGTAAAAAAATATTACAAAACAAATAATATTTTACAGAACATATAAAGTATAAAACTATAAAGATAATATTTATACTAAATTACATTATGTATAAGCCCTGTATTATGTCCTATTTTTAAGAAAAGATTTTCAATTTTAAAAAATATGGTATTAACATGAGCATTATAATATAAGCATAGTATAAGCATTAAAAATGTGTATTAAAACTTTTTATAATTTTTTAAACATTTATCTATAAAAATGCGTTATGAATTTACTGTTAATAAATGCTTTATAAAATTATCAAATGTTTAAAAACGTCTTTTTAAATAGGTTATAGAAGGATACTCGGCAATTAACTAGGTAATAAAAAATTAACATACTCTTTTTGCAGCGAGAACGGTATTTTTTTACATCTGCTGGGTAACGACGATAAATTTCTCTAAAACGGTTAGTGAGAAAACCCTTTGATGTACCCGCACAGTAGTATAATTCCAATTTTTTTAAATAAGTTATATCTTTAACGAGAAGTAAACGATATCAAAATCAATCATATAACATTAATAAGTTTTGTGAAATAATAAACTAAGTAATAAACAACAAACAAATCTTAAATTTATTTTTACAATAAATTGAATTAATAATAATACAAGAAGAAAATTTGTTGAGACATTAAAGTTAGAATCATGTAAAGATGGTGCAGTGTGTTTGACACGTTTAAAATATTAGGTAATGAAAGTATAGTCTACTACATAATTTTGAAACAAAAAATTGAAAAAAATAAAACAACTTACATGTCCATTTCCGCTTCGACATGCCCTAAACTTAAAAGTTGAAACAATACTTTTTGCCATGGCTAATTGATGCTCTGGTGGAGGATAGCTGTAAAAAGTATTACAGTTTAAACTGAATAGATATAAATATATAGTAAACTAATTAATTTTATTAGCTATACAATTATGTTACTTATATTAATTATGTTATTTATAATAAATTTAATTATCACATAATATAATTAACATACTTAATGGAACATTTTTATTTTTATTTTTTTTCTCTCAAAGTTTTACATCCATGTTTCCACACTAGTGTGGTTTGGATGGTTCTACAAAGTGACATAAATGCCACTATGTAAGAATTGAAGCAATTTTTTACAACCGGATGCCCTTCCTGACGTTAACATGAAACAGGTTGTACTAGATTTCATGTTACCAGTAGCAAGATAACCTAACATACATATTTTAATAAGATAATTATGTAATCATGTATTATAGTTATATATACTTTTAAATATTATTATATAACTTATTTTCCGAAGCAATCAATTAAGTAAGAGCATGCTACTTTGACAAGAAGACGATGCAAGCCATAATCCATTACAGCTTTTTGTGCCTCAATAATGATGCTATTTTTTAAAGGATGATTTTCTATTGCATCCGTTATTGACACAACCTAATAGAAGAAACCAATACAGAAGTTTTTGAATTAATCAACTAGTCAAAGAGTATAACGCTGTTGCAACTATAATCTTCTAACAAACATATTACATTATAACTCAAAAACTGACAAGAAATATTTATACAAATTGAAAATTAAAAAATATCTATATAACCTAAATAAAATATAAAAATATATTTAAAAAAAATCAACAATAAAATAAAAAAAATGTGAAAATATAATAAAATATTAGGTACCATCTTTTTTGGACCACATGACTTGGTACATGCAATGGGAGTTACCACAGATGTTTCTATTGTGCATCAAAAAGTAAATTATATAACAAACTGTTACTATTTGCATGTCGCATCAATAAAAAATGACAAAAAATGAAATTTGTGTACTAAAAATAAATTGTATTAACATACCAATAAGGTCCACATTTGGCGAATGAACAGGCTTAGAATTTGAAGTTGCTAAAGCTGCTTCTAATTTAATAACTGCTTCTAATTTAAAAGCTGCTTCTAATTTAATAACTGTTATGCTTTATTATAAATATTACAAATATTGTTTATATAACATTTATATTAAACATTTCTACTTTACAATATTTTGTTCATCTATAAATGATAAATAATTATTTAAAATAATTATTTTTTTTGAAAGTTACATATAGTTCATTTTTTAAAGATCTCCTATTTGCTTTTCAAACCTCGATATGGCTACTTTTATATTGAATCTGTAATCCTTTGCCTCGACACACATTATTAAATAAGTGACTAGTATATAATAAAATAATAAATTAATTCATGTTACAACTGTTCTGGATTAAATTCCCCCAATTTATTGAATGCTTAAAAAAACATTTTTCGACGAAACAAACACATTAGAAGGAACAAAACTTCTAATATTTGACGGACGCAACTCTCATATATCAAAAACTGTTGCAAACTTAGCTATTGTAAACAACATTGAGCTACTTGGCTTACCTCCCTATACAAATTGTATTTTACAGCCTTTAGATGTAGGTTTTTTCAAGACAGTCAAAACATCTTGAAAAAGTTGTTTGAAAACCTTTTTTATGATACAACACGATACAAGATGTAGATAGAGAAACTTTTTCACAATTGCTGAAATTGGCTACAAACAGTGTGGGACTCAGTGGAAGCAATACTATAATGGCTTTTGAAACATGTGAAATCTTTCCATTAAAACAAAGTAGATTAACCAGTGAGAATTTGTCAACGACAAAGCCTGTGACATCGGATGTAATTGTTAGCGCAAGTAATAACGGAAATCAAAATAAAATTACACTGGCAATCAGTGACATGAATAATATAAGCTCCGTAGCGATGCGAGTCACAAGCTCAAATGAAATACAACAAGTTCAAACTCTATGAAAACAGCTAGAAGCGTACTTTTGAAACATCTTTGACACACGCAACCTGTGAAAAGCGACGAGAAAAGAAAAAGAATCAAGAGAACGTTGGCGGAATGTCTTACATCTATTAAATTTCGTGTAAGATTAAATAAAATGGAATCAACCAAAAAAGTAAACCTAAATAAAAATAACTTATTTTTTTATATATTCAAGTAGAATATATTAGAACTGAATCTCTTTAATACCTTTTAAATAACATTATTTTGTTATGTTTTCAGTGCTATTTTACTTGTTTTTTAAAGTAGTAGTTTTTAAAAAGAAACAGCAAATTGGTGCTAGTATATATTTCTAATGTTTTCTCTATTTTATTTGTCAAAATTCCAATTATTATCTCACTCTTATAAGGTACTTTGAACATTTAAAGCATAAAACATTCTAATGTCAAAGTTACCCCAGAAAGAGGTAACATTGACGCTACAGCAACAAAAATAATTATCTGTCAATAATATTACATAAAAATATAAAAATTTTAATAGAGTATGGCAGCAATATTATTATTATATTGGTAACACATATTGGTAAACACATGTAAATATTGGATACCAAATTTTTTTTTCGCATGCTGGAAAAAAAAAATTTCCGATGATGTGTCAATGTTACACCACTCTACCTTATAAAATAAAAAGTTTGTAAATTAAACACACGCTTACGTTAGTGAAAGATTTATTTAAGATTCACCCAAGTTTTGTACCATGCATATTCATTCATTTGTTGATTGCTCAACTTACCCCGCTGGTGCAGGTTGAGTAGCTCCGCACACTTTAGGTATTATCTTTTGAAAAAAATCAAAAATTATACTTTTTTCTTAACAAGTTTTTAGTCGGTTTAATTATCTTTTAAATAGTGAAAAAATTATGTAAATTTGACGTTCATGAGATCTGTTATATTTAGTAAAAATTGCTCAACTAGTCTAGCTCTATCCTATTGATTAATTTTTACAAAACATTTTACAGGTTCAAACAGTAGCGTAACGAAAGGCCCAGAGTTAGTAGAGGCCAAGCCAAATTTTTCAAATTTCTTTTTAAAAAATTGTTATTCTTAAAAATAATATGCATGTATATAAACATAGCAATTTTTGCTATTATTATATAGCTTAGAACTGCAAACTCTTTTTCAAATTATTTTTTTAGCTTTAATCTTGATTAATACTTTAAATTGTGAACTTTTTATTTATTTATATCTAAAAAATTAAAACAAACTGTATTAACTCATAAGTATACAATTTAGTTAAGTGATAAGTATGATGTCGTAAGGTTTTAAAGCAAAGTACAATAATGAAGCTATTGTATTAAAACAATAGCTCACTTTAAACAGAAGGTTGTTAAGATGGACGTCGAGGTTACAGTGTGACTATCTTCATTACTGTTGTATTTATTTTTCATAAAGTTAATTAGTTCTATAAAACTTCTCTCAAACAAGTATTTAGTATCTGTAAAAGTTAACAATAAACACATACTTATCTAGGTTATAAACAGACTAAATGATGCTAATTTAATATAATATATTACTTAATCCTTCAAATTAGCTCATAGCTTAAGTAGAAAGTCCTATGATGGCTGCATCAATATCGGTAATTTCAACATATCGCATTTCCTTTGTCCAGACACCCTAAGGTTGCTCAAACCATATAAAGGACTTGTTATTTACCTACAGTAGTAATTATATTCTAAAATTGTTTCCTAAATCTGTATTAGGTAATAACACTAAGGGCCGCTTTAGTATCAATTGAGGAATTTTAATTTCAAAACCGTTTCCCGAAAGTGAAGTTTCAAACTTTTTACCGAGAGTTACAGCAAAGGTGATTACGATTCAATATCAAACTTTATTGCATCAATCTACTGGAATATTTTATTTCTTTATAAAACAACGGATATTATGTTTAAATTTATTAATTTCTAACAATTGTACTGTTTGCGAATAATTTATCCCAAATAATTTATCTTTTTGGTATATCAACTGCTCTACTAAAATGGAATGGTAGATAATGGAAGAATAATAAACCTCAAATAAACTGCTATCTTTGTAATTGTTCCGTAAAGCAAAATAAGCACATAAATAAGAGTTTATTAGACCACGCAATAAATATGGGGTGTCTATTTGGGTTTCTTATTTAAAAACTGATAAAACATTGGTTGAATCTATTCAACGCAAGTAACATAATGGACTTCCAGCTTAAGACATCTTTAATACTGTGAAAGACTAAGAATATTGAATCAACCATTATTGACTTTGTGCCTTCGTTGGGGTAGCGATACGCTTAGGACAAGGAGAAACTTTCTGCACTTTTTTCCCGCATTTTATACATTAACAATTTCCGCATTATTTTCATTTTACCCATGTCCACAATAACATACAATGATATAAGTTGCTCATTTAAAAGTATAATGGAAGCTCTTATGTTATATTTGACATTACCCATTAGCGTAAAAGATCTTTAACCCTGTATTGCATGAATTAGAAAAATATGGAAATTAAAAATTATTTGTTTGGAGTTATAATAATTTATTATGTGTTAATAAAAGTAAAAAAAATAAAATAAAAAAATTCCCACATGTTGGGGGATTTTGGTGTATGTTAACTTAAAGCAACATTATGCAATAGAAAAAAAACAAAAAATTTTAACATAATTTTTTTCTTTTTAATTACTTATGAAAATCTTCAAAACAATTAGATTTAGGTGCAAAACACAAATGTACTTTACATTTATCACAATAAACCTTAGGGATGCCATCGCACCCAGGGTTTTTACATCGGCCTTTGTTTCGCTAAAGACAGGCCAGTAATCAATTCAATCAGTTCTAGTTGAAAATTCAGGAACTAATGCAACAAGGCCTTTTTTTTCTTTTTGCAATAAGAAGATTTTGTTTTTGATGAACGACCTCTTTTATTTTTCACCATAATTTTTCCGGCTTTCATCAAATCGTTGGCTACTTTTAATTTGAATACTCTTAATTGAAAGATATCTTTCTTAATTGAAAGATATCTTAACTGAAAGATACCTTTTTTTAAAGCATTAGATTTTTTCATATCCCGACAATAAATAATCCAAGCTTGAACAATTATCATATCTAAAAAATGTCAAATAAGTTTATGGTACCATTTCTTTGATCGTATTTGAATTCTATATAAGCTTAATAGACAATCTAATAAGTCAATTCCTCCCATAAAGCTGTTGTATGTTGAGACAATAGAAGGTCGTGTTACATTTATTTTCAATTTTATCTTGCAATTCTATCGCTGAACAGTAGATACTGGGTTTACTGCCTCATAGGATGAAAGTAATGTTACTCCCCTATTATCGAACCACTTTACGATACGCAGTTCAACGTTGTCAACATTTGTGGTCAACAAGGTAGCTGATCCTCTCCCTTGTTTTTTTATAACTTTATCTGTTGGTAATTCTATATTTTTTAATCGATTAGAACGTACAGTTCCAACCCATGTAATTCCCTGTGTAAACAGTGTTTTGACTAATTCTAAACTAGTATACCAGTTATCGAAGTATAACTTATGCCATTTTTGCCTTGAGACATTTACTAATAAATTCATTACAATGTTTCCTAATGCTTTTAAATCAGGTTGCCCAGGACACACATCAATAGGGCCAGTGTGAATTTCAAAATTGTGTACAAGACCATCTACTCCTGATAAAACATAAATCTTAAATCCCCATTTTTTGGGTTTCATTGGGTTGCACTGTTTAATAGATGATATACCTTTATAAGAACAACCTGTTCATCAACGCATAACATTTCTTCGTGTTTCAGTATTGAAAGGAGTCTTAACATATTAATGATAGGTCGCACTTTGTATAACTTATCTCCATGATTATTGTAAAATTTATTGTTGTCATTGCAATGAAAAAATAACTTGATTTGTTGAAATCTGTTGACAGTCATAACTTCTCCAATTTTTTCAAAGTATAACTCCTTACTCCAAAACATTCTGTTCGATGGCATTTGAACAATGCTCATAGCATATAAAATTCCGACAAATTGCTCAAGTTCAGTTTTATCGAGCTGAAGTGGTTTGTTAGGATTCTTTTAAATACCATATTTATTAGATTCATCGACAATTAATTGCAACATTTGGTCACTTAAAAAACGTTTTACATACTTAATAGACTCAACAATGTCTAAATCACCGTCTATTTCATTATCATTCTGATATTGAAGAGTTTTTTTTAGAATATCCTCTGGATTCTCTTTTTTCCATACCAATTCTGACTTCAATGTTTTTTTGCTAGTTTTTTATGCTGAGTTAGCTGAAAATCAATTTTATCAGATTGATCATCCAAGACTTCATCTTCTGTATCAGTTAATATAATTTCTTCATCAGTTTCACTATATAAATCGCCACATTCTACAATTTCTGGATTTATTTCTTCATCAGAGTCTGTAAACAAATCACTATCTGAAATTTCTGGATTTTGGACTGGAAACTTTACAGGAGCATGATTAAGTTTTGATCTAGGTAAACCTCCATAAAAGCATTTAACATTCATCTATATAAAAAATTTGCACAAAACTTTACTAAAATATTTCAAAATTACACAATTTGTAAATATGTTGTTTTTAGATTTTTTTTATATCTAGAATGCATGGTGTTGCTTTAAAGCAACATACACATTTTTTAGGTCTATACCTTTATAATATGTGTAAATGAAGTCTAAATGTTTCTAAAACATAATTGTAATATTAAAAAATATGCAACTATTTTTTATTTGTTATAAACTTGTTCCAAAATATAAAAACAAATTCATTAAATATAAAGTGAGCCGTTTTTTATAAATTAGTAATTTCATGTGTTTCCAAAAAGGTACTGCATATTTTAATCGCTAAGTGGTCACACTTAAAATACTCTGTATCATAGCTCTAAACCACTTAAATGGTTCTTTGAGTCACTACCTTTAGCTAAACTGTGTAACAAGCTTATTTACAGTATGTTAATTTAAAGACGCACTATGCAATATAGGGTTAAACACATCAAAACCCATTCACGGACAAAAATGGCGCAAATCATTTTGTGTGCACTAAACCTCATAGCTACTGAAGCAGAGTTAGCAGCTTAATTAAATTTAAAAAGTGTTATAGACCAATATGCAGCTATAAAGACAAGAAAAAAACTTTTATTAGATTTTCTACTTACAAACCTTGCATAGTGTAACATACTAGTTTCTATTTAATTTAATCAAAATTTTATTTAAAAATAAGGTTTTTGTTTTCATGTATAATTTTTGTCAAGAAAAATAATGGAGGGGTGGGGGAGCAGAGAAGTAATTTAGGGGCCCGGATTAAAATTTCGCGGGGAGGCTTATTTTTTGTCGCTACACTACTGGATTCAAGAGTTGTTGAAATTGATCCTTGTCAAAAAAAGTTTTAATTAAATTGTTAAAAAAGTGTAAGTTAATGTTTTATCGGCTATTATATAATTTACACAGAAATAACTTCGAGACATGGCATTAAAACAGAATATATCACGCAACAAATAATATATTTTTAATTAAAAAAAACGCGTTTTTTATTTACGTACTATTAAATGGTCGAGATTGATAGCAAGGCGACTAAACTATTTTAGGCGACGAAAGCAGAGCAGGAAATATTTTAGCAAGTATACAACTTGCTAAAATATTTCCTGCACTGCTTTCGTCGCCTAAAATAGTTTAAACAAATAAATTTGTCCTAGAATCAAAATTATATTTTTATTCATGACTATGATATCAATAAGTATAATATATATATATATATATATATATATATATATATATATATATATATATATATATATATATATATATATATATATATATATATATATATATATATATATATATATATATATATATATATATATATATATATATAAGTATAAGTATAATGTATATATAATGTATTAACCTCTTTCAATCCCATAATACTATTAACAAACTTTTTCATACTAAAAATATTGAGTTAGCAAAAATCTCTGAGTCGTTTAGATCAAGTAATCTTTTACTCAATATTAAAACTGTAATATTACTCAAAATTTAAGTCACATCTCTTCCGTTTAGCTTTTAAGAATATTTTTTTTAAATTGATTTGTCTATGCTTTTTATTAATAAAATTTTTACTTATGAAATTCAAATATAGTTTTGTACAAAAAATAACAAAAAGAACAAAAAAAATGAAAATAAAAATAACATCTTTATATCCAAGAATTCCCAGTAACAACATTCATAAAAACTCTAAATACCAATTTCAATTGTAACGATATCTTCAATTGTAACTTTTTATCAAACATAACAATCTTTAGTAACGAAATCCCTAGTAACAGCGCTCTTAGATACACCATATCAAACAACTCATAGCCCTTTCCCTAGCAACAGCAGTCCATTTGAAAATTGCTCTTGTAACAACATCCATTTTTTTAGTAACAACATCTTAAAGCTATTAAAAATTATTCCAATTATATCGAAATTTTGTAATTTTATTCTGAGAGAAGAAAGTGGAAAAAGTACTAAAATTTAAAATATATATTAACAACTAAATCGACGGCTTTTCTAAGCAACGTCTTTTTTTACAAATTTTTGATTTTGGAACTAAATAAAGCACAATTGGTCAGTTTTTAAAATAAATGAAATCAAACTGATTAAAAGGTTTTGTTTAATTACAAAAAGACGTAATATTTTGTTTGTTTGCCAGTTTGTGAATTCGTGGATATTTCAAAATAGTAAACAAATATTTATTTCATGAGTCAGGCCTGATACAAACTTTTAAACATTGAAAAAAAAATAACTGAAGTTGTACAGCATTTTTCTGCTTCAGCTATATTTTTCATATCTTGATTTTGTTTTTCATGTTCGTTTGTTTTTTAAAGTTCTTATTTGTTTTTGACACAAGCATGCTTATGACGGAAGAAATTTTGTATTATTGATAACAGCATTTGTGTAAGATAGAAAAAATTCTAGATTTTTCGTGTAAAGAGTCTGTTGAGTCTAATTTAAACGCGATAAAAAGAGTATATTTATTCAAATTTTGGTCTGCATTTGAAGTTGGCATTTCTTCCCACGCTTAACCGTAAATATTCATATATCAAAACTGGTAATATGCTTTAAATGCAAAAATATTTTAAAACAATATTCAAAAAGATAATTTTGTATTTATTGTAACTAATTTATTTTATTAGTCAGATGAATTAAATTATGACAAAAACGTAAAAATGTTTTTAAAAAATTTAGAAAATCATGAATATGAAATTTTTTGAATTACATAAATAAAACAGTTTGTTTATTCTTATGTTATTTCAGCTTCTAATTGTTAAAATTTAAAGGCGTTATTAAAGTTTGTAAATATACCACAAAAAGAAAAAAGATAACACCTACAAGCATTAAGGAAATCATTATTTCTGATAAAAACAATTAACTGGAAAAAATTATTACTTCCTCTTACTTTATCTTGTATAAAAGTTTTTTACGGAACGAAGTAATAACAAATGGAACTAATCTTTTTTTGTCCATAGTGTTAATAGGTTGGCTTAAAAATAAAGCTTTGTAAACTCTGCTTTATTTCAGGAATAAACAGCTCTCATATCGGTAGTAACTAATCATGAAAGCTTTTTTTCAAAAAAATTACCAAGCTAAATTGATCGCAAACCTATCAAATGACAATGCCAGGGAAAAATATGAAACATTTGGAGATTGTATGAAAGAAACAAATAAAATTGGAGGAAAAGTTATGAGGCGGAAAAAATCCGATAATACATTATTAATCACTAACAAAAAAGAAATGGGCCGCAGCAAATCGTTTCAAAGAAGTTCATCAAAATCAAACGGTAAAACACCAGATAAGTTGTATTTAGATGATATACAAGTTTTATCTAACACTGAAACATTTTTTTCACATAATGTTTGGTATTACGGTAAGCTAGACTTATTTCAGACCGATTCTACAGAAGTAAAACTCATTGCTGGAACATTACTGGTTCGTATAGACAGATATGGAAGCGTAGCATATAATTTAACATATCTTATTGATAATGAACTTCACACCTGTAGATTTCCATTTGAAAACGGAAAATACTCTTTGAACTTTGACGACCCAGCTCAACCGCGATTTTTAAACGTAAGCTCTTTGATTGCTTATATGGTGGAAAATAATTATTTAGAAAGAGTTACATTTGAATGGCTTATTGATAATTATTAGTTTGCATTAAATTGTTTTGATTTTTTTTTTTTTTTTTTTTTTTAATTTATTTAACTTTGTACAGTTTTTAATTGGTTTCGCGACAATTTCTTTTTAGAGTTTGTTTTATTTAGTTGATCAATTTTTTTTTTTTTTAAAGCTAATATTTGCGTGCTTGTTTAAGTTTATTACACACCGAGAAAATAATTTATATTTATTACGATACGTTTGAAATACGTAATGTAATTTATTTATTGAATATGTACGCAGTGATGATGCAATACCACGAGCGGTTCAAAATTTTTATCGATTTTTTTTTAAATTGTAAGTTGCTGATCATCGAAGTATTTGTCTAAATATGATTATTATGCTCAATTAATATAAATACCATAATTAGAATCCATATAAAAATTTATCCTAACTGTCAATTAGGTGGGAGTCTCAGACTATTAAAATGAAATTTATCTCTCACCCCCAATTTATAAATAACTGAAATGCTCTCTTATTTTAGATGAAATTATTAAACAAACAGATCACGAAGCCAACAATGAGTTTGATCAAATTACTTTTTAATTAAAAATTTAAAACAATATTATTTATATTAAATATTATTAGGCGCATTAATTTACAAGACATTCGAATTATTTCTTTATGACGTCATAAAAAGTAGCCGTGTTTGCTAAAGACTTAATTTTTTTAATTTTTCATTAAACAACAGGATTCAAACAATTATTTCTCTACAACTAATATGTCAATAGTTAGTTCACTTTGTGCTACTTTATTTTTTTTATAAAATTTTATTAAAGGAATAAAAAAAAATTGAAAATGCTGTCAAAATTTAGGCGCCAAAATCTTTTAATTGATTACCATTTTACCTACTTCTCAATCCAACTGTTATTCATAATTATTTCATCAATTTTTACATAAGTTAAAAAAAAATTAAAAAAACCATAAATCTTTTTTTTTTTTTTTTTTATTTTAAAAAAGGCATAAATAGGCCGAGTGAATAAAAATAAGCAACTGCTTTTACTCAGTAATTGGTCAGCTTTACGTGAATAAGCTTCACAAATTTTCCTAAGTTTTTATTCACGTAAAGCTGACCAATTATTAAGTAAAAGCAGTTGCTTATTTTTATTCACTCGGCTAAATGACTTGTTTCGTCTCATTTAAAGTCTTTTTAAAATTTTGATACATAAATCTAAAAGTTAATATACAAAGAAATGAGTCAAAATGAAGTAAACAGAAAAAAAATCTGAAAACAGTCTATAATTTCTCAAGTAAGAGCCAGCTTAAAATTAAGTTATTGTAAACTTGCCAACACATTTAACAAAAATCGTATTGAAAAAAAAAAATTCATCTTTCAAATACAGTTAGAAACATTTAAATTAGGAAAAACATTGATGCGTATACGGCTGTAAGAAACCCATGCTTACAGAAGAAGAAAAAAAAAAAACTTTTGACTAGATCAATATATTATGTATTTCAATACATAATATATTGATCTAGTCAAAAGTTTATGGATTGAAATTTTACACAGTTGCAAACGCCTTGTTACAAACCGTTTGACCAATGCATTTTTAAAATTTTTAAAAATTGCTCTTTTTACCACAAGTTTACTAAAAAAATTCAAGAAAAAACCATGTCAGAAACAAAAATATTTGTGTTAGCTTCTTTTTATTAAATAATATTTGCAATATCTTCCGATGCAGTTTAGACTTTAAAAAGCTAGAAAAACTATATTCTGATGAATTTATTTTTTCAGATTTACTATTGAAAAAGAAAAGTGTAGAATCACTTCCAAAACATGTGAAAAACTTGTAGATATGAGCAATATAAGACAATCTGTTCAATAAATACCTCCAGTCAGCCAGCTGTCATAGGTAGAGTTTTAATCTAGTTGAGCTATATACCCCTCAATCAATAAACAAACAAAAAATATATTTGAGATTATTTTTTTTTTATTTCCAACAAAGCAGGTTTCCTGGATAAACTATGTGAGAGATTAGTCAATAGGTGTGTGTTACGTCAGCTTTCACCAGCATCTATAAAATAAGCTGGGTTTTAGAGCAACACTAGCAACGCTGTCAGTGGAAAGTTTGTTAAGTAAATTTAAAAAATTTATATTTCTATAATATTATTTTAAGATATATATATATAGTTTTAAATAGTAGTTTCAATGATTTTTCCAGAAAAGTTCTATCAAAGCGAACTGGACTCAAAAGTATTTAAAGTCCCAAGTGGAGAATAAAACCTTTTTTAGCATACTTGCTCCTTGACTAATGGACATGATAATAAAAGAGTAGAAAAGAATAGATGAAGTAAGAGAAAACATATTGTTTTTTTATGAAAAAACATGTTGTTTTTTTTATGTTTTTATCATGTTCTGAGAAGAACCTGATCAATATGTACAGCGTTATAAGGTGTTTAAAATTAAGACAAATAAAGAAAGATTTGAAGACTTTAAAATACTGAAAATTAAGAAAAACACCAAAACAGCATTTTTATTTACTCAAAAAGAGAAAAAAATTGTGAAGAGCTTTAATAGATCAAAGATGTCAACTGACGAGGAAAAAAAAAGAATTAAAAATGCTGTGGATGTATTAGCTATTTCATGCAAATAATGTAATTGCTTTAAACATTAGGTCTCCAAATCATTAGAATTTAAAATAGCTTTAAAATTACCACCTAACGAACTGATTGTAGCTACTTTTATTGTGTTACTGTTTAGTATAGAATTGATGGTAGACCTCAAGCTATTACAATTTCTATTATCTGCAACAAAACCGGTGTTGATAAGTTATGCGGGCAAGGTTGCGCTTTTTTATTAAAAAGTTGTAGTTGTGCATGATACCATTGGCAACTTTTTATATGAGTTTTTTTTATGTTGAATTTTTTTATTTATCAATAGGTTTCATTATGTTTTACACAGTGCATACAAAATATATTGAAATAAATATTGAAATTTTGGACTATTGGTTAGCATACTTCATACATATACATATATAATTTTCAAAACGGATGCGTGGAAAACTGTATGGCATTCGACAACTATTCATTTGCATTTACTGAATTAAATAACTTTACAAAGAGGCCTTTGTAAAGTTTATTTAATTTTAAGTTGGTTTTGTAACAATTGTTTAGCAATTGTTACAAAACCAACTTGACGCTCTAGTTTTTAGGATAAACTGAGTTCTAACATTTTCATAGTTGGGGTCCCAGTCTTATTATTATTCTAAATATGGTAGGTGCAAACTTTTAACTGGTCAAATGACAGCGCAAGTTAATGTAAAATAAAAGCACATTATGCTTATTGAATGTATTATGAATTTATTTACACCAAACATTAAATGTACGTTTATTTTTTATATAAGTAGTAGTAGTAGTTTCAAAACGATATTTCAAAAACAGCATAAAATAATACTTATAACCTTTCTATTAAAAGTAAACATAATTCAATATGTTTATTATTTATTTCAAAATATGTTCAAACGATTGCTTTTATGAGGTCAAAGAAACTTTAAAATGGCTAATAAAACATTTTTACGCTCATCTTATATGCGTGAAATTCGGGTTTATGAAAGCGATAGGTTCAAAATATTAAAATGCTTGGGAAAAAATGCATGAATCAAATAGAGTTTTTAATTACATGCATAATGTCATTGTAATTAAAATGTCGTTTCTTTGCTTTTATTTAAATTTACTTAATATGTTTTTAAATGTGAGAATAAAATATATAACTAAATACATTTTATCCTCCCATTTAAAACATTTTAAAATTTGTATTACCTAACATTAACAATAAAGAAGGCTTTCGTTATTTAATTAAATCCACCTAAAGTTCTGAAATTATCGTTCATGGGTTTGTTCGCCAAGTTTTACAGGCTTCTTTAGATTCTTGATCTTTATTATTCAAACTATTTTCTTTGTTCTTGAAGATGTCTTCTTTATGCCATGAAACATATTTTAAATATGAGGCAATATCCCTATGTCCTATTGACGTATTTGGAAAGTTGTAAACGATAGATTTCAAAAAAATAATTAATGAAGTTAATAATAAACCAATAAGATTTATTTGTTTTGTATCCTGTATATTTTTGTAAACTTAAAAAACTACAAATAAGGAACCATCCATAAAGGACGTCATCCAAATAGAGGGGGGAGGGGGTCGAGTTAAAAAGGACAATAAAGGATAAGGGGAGGGGGAGGTTGTCAGAAAAGGACGTCACTTTATAGATTTTTATTTTAGTTTAATTAACATGGAAAACTACGTAAACATGTGTTTTTGAGAAAATAATGTATGAGAATATTTTTAATTTTATTTTTCAAAGGTTTAGCAGCAGGTTCAAACATCATTGCAAGATGAAATAAATTTTTTTGGAGTTAAAAAAAGGGGGAGGGGGTCAGAATTTTATGACGTCCTATTTTGGGGGTATAGGGAAAAAGGACAACCGGTGACAAAGGGGGGAGGTGGTCAAAAATTGGCTAAAAATGGTGACATCCTTTATGGATGGCCCCTTAAAAAGTGTAAAGTAGTTAGCATACTAAATATAAAAAAATCAAAATTGGAGTTACCAACAACATCTTTACATATAAAGGGTTTCCTAAATGAAAATTTTCTAAAATTTCCTCTACCATTCATGTTCATTTTTGAAATAAATGAAGTAGTAAAACGTCGCCATATAATAGGCCGAGTGAATAAAAATAAGCAACTGCTTTTACTCAGAGTTTTTGGAGTAATTGTTCAAATTATGTGAATAAGGATTTTGAGCAATTGATTTTTTTGCGCGCGATAGCTTTCACTCTGAGCAATTGCTCATATAAGTGAAAAAGGCGTAAATAACAAAACTTTATTTCATAAAACGGCGAGCAATTACTTCCTATTTTACGAGCACCTATAATAGTTGCATTTTGTTTTATTGTTTAGGTAATTGGGCATTCATTTTATTATTTTACTATTATATTTTACTAATTTTTTACTATACACACACAAATATATATATATATATATATATATATACATATATATACACAC